AAAGTGTATAAGAAATTTTGTTCAAAAAGGATAGTAAATAGATTGGTTAAAGGCAACAATATGCTACTGAAATTTTCTACAGCAATCCTTCGTTCGTAAAGATGATAACTTTTACGGCGAAAAGAATTCATAGAACAAGATAGATAAAAGGACTTCTTCTTAGTATTTTTAATGAAAAATTATAGTAACAAAAGATATTGGTGATAGGAGACTACTAGATCTCTGATGCAATTGGAGGTGACAGTAGTAGATTAATTTGATCTACGACGGAAGATGACGGTGGAGATGGCGATATCAAGAGCAATTGTGGAAATTACTTAGTTGGTGGTGGGCGATAAGGATGGCAGTAAAAGCAACAAGATCGCTACTCTGATACCAGATGATATTACCCTAGAGGAATTATATGTAGATTGATCTTTGAGGGGGATCAACCCTTGGAACACTATAGGGGTTCCACCCTCCTAAAAGTCGGCTAAATGACTGCAACTGTAGATAGATCTTATTCCCAAAGAGATGGAGGCTACATGCTTATATAGGGCTCCAAACCCTAGCCCTAAGAGCTGCTTCCTAAGTGAGTTACCCTTTTTGCCCTCAACCCTAGCCAACCGACCCAATAAAAGGGGGTGATGGCTAGGAATCCCAAAGGCCCAAATATAAACCATAGCCACTCTTCTTTATAGGATAGAGACAACTAGGTGAAGTTTATTATAATCTCATAGGGCTTTTATTAGTTGCTTCTTGGTTGAGTAGGACCTAACCTTGCTTGGGTTCTATCAGATCCTCTATCGATACTCAATAGCTCTCGTAAGGTTGGCTATCACTCCAAATGACCGGCTGCACTAGATATGAAACTTTCAAACCTATAAGTTCAGTATCAAAGAGTGGAGTACTCATACATGACATCCTTGGTGTCTCAAGTCTAAGGACCAGGTACATTATTGGGACGATAGAATCACTGTCCGACAATGAGGTTTCTTCAACCATTCAACATTCTATAAGCGGATCAATTAGTGAACATATTCTCCAATGAGCACCTGCACTGTATCCCTAGTGTCCCCATATGAGCAGCTATGAGACCAGCCTCCTTCATCATATAGACAGGTATACAGTACACTAGTCTCTCTGGTTATCTCGATGTCTATCTCGAGTAACCTATGACCAGTATCATTTAAGGTCCATGTTTAAAGGTGAATCAGTCTCATTATTGTGATTGCATCACGATTTAATTATCATTACACAGATCTATGGACATCACAATATATGTATGCAATAAGCAATATAAAGTGAGAGAATAATAATAATAATAATAATAATAATAATAATAATAATAATAATAATAATAATAATAATAATAATAATAATAATAATAATAATAATAATAATAAAGACTGTGTGCCATGTCACACATGCCATCACTCACATGATTGGCTTGCTGGGCACCTATGACTAGTAGGTGCTATCAGACTTATATGGTTTCTACTCGAGTTTCGCTCTAATCGAATTCTCTCAAAGAACTCTTTCTCTCTCAATCCAAATGACCTTAGCTAAGGATTTTTCTGACTAAGAACACATGAGATATTCCTCTTATGACATCGATAGTGGATGATTCTCTATAGATACTCAATAGCCCTTGTAAGGTTGGCTTTCACTCCTAATAATCGGTTATACTAGATTTGGAACTTCCAAACATAAGTTCGGTATCAAAGAGTGGATTATCCATGCAGGACATCCTTGGTGTCTCAAGTTTAGGGACTAAATACACCATTGGGTCGATGGAATCATTATTTGATAATGAGGTATTATCAACCATCCAACATTCCGTAAGCGAATCAATTAGGGAACTCATTCTCCAAGGAGCACCTGCATTGTATTCCTAGTGTCCCTACACGAGCAGCTATGAGACTAGCTGTTCCATTATATGGATGGGTATATAGTACACTAGTCTATTCGGTTATTTCGATGTCCCTCTCGAGTAACTTATGATAAGGATTCTTTAAGGTTTGTGATGAAAGACGAATCAATCTCATTGTCGTGATCTCATCATGATCCAATTTCGATTGTATAAATCTATGGACACACACATATGTATATATATATATATGTATATATATATATATATATATATATATATATAAGCAAAAAACTGCAAAAAGACTGTATGTTACACGTGCTATTACTCATAATGATGACCTCTTACTAGCAAGTGAGATCTATAACTAACAAGTGAGATGACGATTATCTATAACTAGCAAGTGAGATGACGATCATGACCATCTTGATGACCTCTTGCTATGGTGACGAGGCAAGAAGCCATCGACGATGATGCCACCATTGAGGCTCGGCAGGAAACCCTTTCTCTCCTCTCCATTAGCACCCACCTGTTACCGCTTTAGATGGCTAAGGCTTATTATCACATTAGGTTTACTTTCTCTCTAATTTTGATTTTATCTTTTTTTTTTTTTTTTTTTTTTTTCCTACTACT